TAATCCTATCCGCCTCAACCGGATTAATTGATTAATTTATGAACCGATTAAGAAACTTTTTTTACAAAAAATTAAGTCATTGTCAATATCTAATTTAAATCTTTTATATTCCTGAACAAAGTGTATGAAATTTGAAGGCTTAAGTATATATAGAGAGTAGTACACATTGTATCCAAAAAAAAGAAAAAAAAAAAGAGAGTAGTACATTGCTTCAATAATATATTTACTTTTACTAGTTCACGAGGAATCGATGCTCACAGGAGAGATTAGCACGGAGACACCCATTAAATTAATAATATATATGAAAAACTCATCTAATTATGTTTAGTTTATTTATTATATTTTTAATACTATGATCCATTTTTTATAATTTAAATAAAGAATTATACATTTCGGAAGTACTAATTTATTTCAATTAATACACAATTAATGGCTAATGGTTAGGGATGTATATGATAATCATTTTATTTTTTGGCACTTTTTTTGAGAAAAATAATTATTTTTTATTTTTATAATTCTTAATAAAATAATTTATTTGTATTCCTGAGAATATAATTGTGTTTGATAACACTATAAATTTGTTTTGAAAATATTATAAATTTATCATTTCATAGATATAAAATGATCAAATTACAAGATTTTACAATTAATATATCAAAATTTTATATTTAAGAAATAATTATCATTTAAAATAGATATAAAATTTTATCTCATGAAAATACTTAAAAAATAATTATATTTTTTAATATTATATTATTATTTTAATATTAAATAAAGAAGTGAATATTATATTACATGAGCTAAATCATTTTTATGATATCAAATTATTTTTGTCATACAAGTCATATCAAATGTGTTCGAAAATAATATATAAAAGAATGTGCATGCAAAATTTATATTTTTAATATTTAATATTACATTCTATAAATATATAAGAAGTTTCTAATGTAATTGAGTAATACGAATTCATTTTATACAAATTAAGTAAAATTTTATTCCACAAAAACATTAGTCACGTACCTAAAAAAATAGCGAAGAGTTATATTTACAAATTAAATAATTTACAAATTCTTACAATAAATCATAATTGTTGATTTTCATAAATCTAACAGTTATAATTTATAGAGAATTAACAATTAATTAATAAGTGTGATCCAATAAATTATAACCGTTAGATTTACGAAAATCAACAGTTATGATTTGGTTGTAAGAATTTGTAAACAATTTAGTTTGTAAATATAACCATACTCAAAAAAATATATAAGATATTAAAAAATGCATTAATTTTATTGTGACTTTTTAATTGATCAAAATGTATTCGCCTTATAACTTATGAAGAGTTTATAAAAATAAATATTTCCGCAAATAATACATATCGTATTCATTTCTTATGTAGTTTTCAATTGAATTAGAAAATGTCACCAAAAAAAAGGTAATAGATACAATTATACAAACATATTTATAAGAGTAGTGAGAAAATAATCAAAATACCATAAAGAAAGTATCTAAATTAAGTTAAAAGGATTATAACTTAACCTTAACCTTATTATGATTCATGATGAGATCATGAAAATTGGATTAATTAAAATTAATGACCAAATTCAACCTTTCCCAACCTTGTCTACATAGTTCAAATTGGGCGTTTGATTCTGGAGAAATTTTTTGAATACTAGGAAAATGTAATTGATAAGGAAATGGTTGGAAAGTGAGATAAAGTGAGATAGGTAGGAAAATGTAAAAAAAAAAAGTTGTTTGGTGGGGAAAAACTTTACTGGGAAAATTAGGTAACTTTTATGAAATCTATGTTTGGTTGAAGGTAAAATATAGATGGGAAAACAAGTTGGTATTACGAAAATAACCCTGATTTTAATTTTTTTTTATGGTATGTTTGGTATTACAAAATCTCAAACATACGAAAATCTATGTTTGAGATTTTGTTTTTTTTAGGCCTCGTTTTGCTCCTGTGTCTATTTTTGTTGCAAAAAGGGATAATAAGAGAGCAAGAATAGAGGATGCTTTGGCGAGAGAGTTAACTGTTGCTACAAGTTTCCTTTTTAAGAGGGTATAATGGTCTCTAACAATTTCTCTACACAGTCATTTAGCTAGTTTTCACACAAAAATCACCTCCAACAAATCTTTCTCAACAGTGGCAAAACCTATCATTCCACCAGCAAATGGAAAAAACAATGCAAATAGGATAGCTGGGTATTTAGATTGAATCTATTCAACCAAACAAGTCATTTCTGGATTCCTTCCTTCATTTGTATAGGAAACTTTGAAAACCCTCTCAACGAAACACCACCTTAGGCTTTTGTTTGGGACAATGAACCTCATCCCTTAATTTGTAGCTACTAATGGAAAGAAAAAGATTTGGAAGGATAAAAATTTCACAGGCTTTATCATTTATTATCCTTTTTTAATGAAAAGTATGAATGTGAAGTAATTTATGTAAGGTTGAGTATATATTTACATGTATTTATTTTTTTCTTAACAAAACAAAGTAAATGAAGCATCAGTTGCTGTGAAAAAAACACAAATTCTTTTAAATAATATCAAATAGGAGGAATGCTAATTTTTCTTTACTTCTCTATTTATTTTTTCTAGAAGTCCCAGTATTAGAAGATTTATTCCTATACAAAATAAATAATATTCTTAAATTACAATAAACCATAGTAAAAAAGTAAATTGACAGATTAGGATAACAAATACCATTAAGGGATTGTTAGAAATCAAAGCCATAAATCTAGTACATGACCAGTTCTATCACAAGTGAATATAGAAGGAGCCACCGCCACCAACTGATTACTACTGGACTTCAACAAATAATAAAAATAGAATAAATGTACAATCTTATAAGGTATCTTATAAGGTGATGGTGGCTGATGGAAGGTTCACAAAACTGAAATGAACTAGGTGGAATCGAGTTAAACATAATTTATTCATTTATATTGATTTCCATAACAATAAGTTCCTAAGACTTATTAAGAAAATAATTTATTCTTTTTAACTCAAGACCTGTTCTTGTTTTAATTCACAATTTTATAAGTTTTTAAAATTTAATAAATAAAGTTTAAATTCTATATTTATTTATATTTTATATACTTTAAGAGCACCGGATAACAGGATAAAAACAAAATATAATAATTTTATCATTTCTGCAGCATGATTGATAAGCTATGCGTAATTGCAAAACTACCATCAATTCGTTTAAATGATAAACTCAGTAGATTTAGACATTACATCCCAATCAAAAACTTTAAAATATTTAGTTTATGAGTTATTTTTGTAAAGAACGATACATCACCTCAAAAGCTAGCTTAAAGTGTGGGAGTGTTCAAGGCCGTATAAAGGCCACATTAGTTGCCCACATAATCAATGTGGGACTATATATTTCAACACGCCCCCTCACGCAAGAGCCCTTTGGGCTAGAAGCGTGGAACTGCACATGCCCAATTTTTGGTTTACCTTTTTGTGTTTTTTTTATTTTAATTCCACTTGAAAGTGGGGGGCCATGAGAATTGAACTTGTGACCTTATAGTTACTCAAGCTCAAAGGGTGGGAGTGCCCAAGATCTTATAAAGGCCACATTAATTGCCCACATAATCAATGTGGAACTATATATCTCAACAATTTTAGTTTATGTAACATGCTTAGATTATTTTTTCTCAGTTTGATATTTTTTTATCAATTTTTTATCTCTCCTTTGCATGTTGTTGCAACCATTAATTCCTCCTCAAGCAGAAGCTTTTTCAATAATTTATGGGGTTACCATCGAAGCGGGCTATAGGCTTGGTTCCACAACATACGACATGCAAATCTTTTTTTTTTTTTTTGGTTAAAAAATAATTTTTTATTTTGAAAACTTTGTAAATTATTTTATATATTTTACTTAATATTATTTTTTTATATTTTTTTGAAAAATTTAAATTAATATAAAAAAATAAGTCAAAAGAAAATAAAAAAAGTAAATCTTTAAAAATTATGTAAAATCATGTTATAAAATATATTTCTATCTATTTATATCAATGTTATAAAACTCAGACTAACCCGGTCAGGTCGATCCGAAAATCAGTGAACCGGTCATATGATCGGTCCGATTTTCATATTAGGTCGGCTATATATTGGAACTGGTGCGACCCAATCAATTTTTGTAAAAATCAGTAACCCCGCCCAGTTAAAAAAAAAACCGTTTTGTTCTCATCAATTGATACTTTTCTTTTTTTCACTCTCATATACAAATGGTTTGTTTTCTTTTGAAATATTTAAGTGATCTGTTGCTTATTAACTTACATAGATTATGTACTTACAATATAGTTAGAGATGTCTCCACTGAACTTGAAGTACTAGTATCATAAGTATTATAGGTTTGTTTGATATTTTGTTGAATAATAATGTGTAATTTTATTATTTTTCATATTTAAATATTTGAAATTGACATCATTTTTTTTAAAGGTATTTAAGTATATTTTTTTATAAATTTATATATACTTATCGGATCATGCGATTAAACTAGTAACCCACTGAATATATTAGTGACCAAATACTTTGACGAGTCCGTAATCGTTCCGAATTTAATAACATTAATTTATATAATTTTGTTCTATTTAAACAGAAACTATTTGTTTAGTACACGTTAAATATGAGACCTAATATAGTATGAGCATGACGTACTTATATATTAATCAAGGGACCAAACTTACCGATCTAATATCTCGATTTGCTTCCGCAAAATCTCATAGTTGACCGCAATAGTGCAACCAAGATTCTTGCATGGCACATCATCCACCACATGATTCAATAAACATAAATATCACGAGGAAGCGTGAAGGGCTGCGAATACGATTCCTCTATGGGGCTTAACCCCAACGCGTCGCATAGTAACAAAACTCAATTATAAATTAGAATTTTGATTCGTGTTCTCTTTCTCCTCCGTTTGTGTCCGTCTCTGCGTCCACACGGTTCTCTCTCTCTCTCTCTCTCTCTCTCTCTCTCTCTCTCTCTCTCCTTTTATACTCAAACCATCGTCTTTCCAATTTCTCTATAATTCCAGAGCTTTCGTAGCCTCCTGTTTTTTTTTCTCTCACTCTGATTTAAAACAAAAATAAAATAAAAAATTGCAAAAACTTTCTATTCATTTCCTCAGCTATTGTTTGTTTGTTTTTTTCTTTTTCTTTTTCGAATTTCCTTTTCCAACCACCAACCTTGAGCTTCACGTTTAATTTTGTCCTTGTTCTGTAGTTCCATTCCTTGTTTTCTTCTCGTTTCAAGCGTGTTCCGTGCGTAATTCCTGGGTGGAACCATTGCAGAGAGCTGTAAAGTGTTCCAATTTGCCAGGAATTCGAACAAGAGATTGGTTTCCTAGCTTTCTTTGTTCGAATTCTTTGTACGTCGGATTATTTGAATTTTCAAAATACTGAGAAAATCGCTGCCTTTCAATCAATGCTGCTATCGACCGTTTTGGTGAGCATTTTGCAATTATGTGAACCAATTATTGGGTCCTAAATATTGTAGCAGTGTTTGATCTTCTGTTGTTGAAGATTTTAACAGGATCTAAATAATTATATTTTCTAAAACCGTATGCCCTAATTTCCTCCTAGTTTTCTTAGTTACCCTTTGCTTTGAATTATGTACTTTGATGTCTAATATACTCTCTTTTTTCCGCCTTTTCCCAAAAAAAATTAAATTTTTTTTTTGCCTTATTAAATGTCTGCATCTGAAATAGAATCATGTTACCTAATAGGTGCTGGGTGTATTTTTTCTCTTTATTATGGAATATTTTACATTCATGTTTGTTGCTCTGATTGCAGAAATTCATTTATCTGTGAGATCCAAAGTTTCTTAATATGGACAGCTCGGAGACATAATTTCGGACCATTAATTGACTTTGAACTAGGCAACTCAGCAATAATCTGAAATTACGTACAATCTTCTTCTGCAAGGACAAAATGGCTTTTGAAATCAGTTCTGTTGTTTCAAAATTGCAAATGGTATCCACTTCCGACCATTCCTCCGTAGTCTCCATGAACTTATTTGTGGCACTTCTATGTGCTTGTATTGTCATTGGTCATCTTCTTGAGGAGAATCGGTGGATGAATGAGTCTATCACTGCCCTTTTGATTGTAAGTGTTCACTTTTCTTTAGCTTGTTTGCATATAAATCATTTCAGGGAAACCAACTCCTCCAAATATTTTGCTATCCTTTAAGATGAAATAAGATCTGTGTATTGATGCTTAGTTTGAACAATATTGGATGCTGTTTTTTCTTTTTCTTTTTTCTATTGGATGATGACCTAATTTCATATTGATTGTTCTCAGGGTCTTTGCACTGGCGTAGTCATTTTGCTGTTTAGTGGTGGCACAAACTCGCATATTCTTGTTTTCAGTGAAGACCTTTTCTTTATATACCTTCTGCCGCCTATTATATTTAATGCCGGGTAATTTTTTTGCTCCATTTCATTGTCTAGTAAGGAATCCATGTACTTTTTTTTTTTAGATTTCTCCAGGGTTCATTAATCGATTACTTGACTAATCCGGGCGAGGCAGGCAGGATAAGGGCAACAAAGTTTTCCCTACCAAAGTCTTAACAGGGCTGCGTACCCAAGAATCAAAATCGATGTTTGACTCTGTATTTATCGTTGTCTGATTAAAATTGGGGAGTGTTATGTTTTGCCTCCTTAAAACCATAAACTAGTAACAAAATAAAGATTTGTGGGCAGACATCCCAATGTGGTAATCTGAAAGTGGTCTAGAAGGCCTAGATTTTCCCTGATACTATAGCATACTGCACGAATAATGCACATCTTTATCTCTTCTTTTTTTGGTAGAAAAAAACGTATTTTTGCAGAAGCAGTCATAATTAACTTTACATAATTAATGACAGAGAAACTTCAGGGGCATATGAAATCTGTGCAGTCTTGGAGTTTGAAATGGTTATAGCATTCCGTTCACTTGCCTGCACTTATAAGTCCTAGTTTTGTGGATTTTCCTCTTCCATTATTTCAATAATGTTGAAAAATATACAACTTAAATAAGTTTTACTTATTTTCCTTATATTTATTCATTTATGTATTTACTTTTTTCTTTCTTATTTATTTTTATTTTCCCTTAATATTTTCCCAATTTTTTCTTGTTTTTTATTTGGGTTCTCCGATCCCAACTATTTTGGAATAAAGGTGATATTGATGTTGATGATGTTGAGTCTTCTTGGCTCCTGCTTGCACATACCATGGGCGATTTCATCTCTTCTGTGTAATAAATATTATATTGACTGTGTAGATAAAAACAGCTAAACTGTTTACCCGTGATATTAGCGTTAATTGTATATAAACCACTCCCCATTAAACCTCACTAGCGAGGGTAGGAGTGAGGGCAATTCTTATATACAGTCTTACCCCTAACATATTTGTAAAGAGACTGAATCCTGAATTCGAAAAACTTCAGAATCTTACCCATCCAAAAGTTCTTGTTCTGCATCTGAGAATTCATATTTTATTATTATCTTTTAACTTCATCATGTGCATGGTAGATTGCAGTCATTGTTTGTTATGAATTTATTCTCTGTGATTTATTTCAGGTTTCAGGTGAAAAAGAAGCAATTTTTTGTTAACTTCATTACAATCATGTTGTTTGGTGCTATTGGTACATTAATATCTTGTACCGTCATAACTTTGGGTATGTCCTACCCCTTTAGATGTATTTATTTGGTATCTTAGTTTTGACAGAGAAAATAATTTGTAAACTTACGGTTGTCATTTTGTTACTAACCCAAATTTATCAATTGGAAGCTTTTTTTGGTTTGAAGAACAACTTAATTCAGTAAAATGGATAGTTAATTTAAGGAAACTGACCATAGAGAAATTTTCTAGTTCTGCTGACTTAAATTTGAAGCATTATTTCAGGCGTTACGCAAGCTTTTAAGAGGATGGATATTGGTCCACTGGAGATTGGGGATTATCTAGGTATTATACTTGTCAACCTCGTCTACTTGGGAACTTCTTATTCAGTTTGTGAGTTAATATTTTGTGATAATTTTCAGCAATTGGTGCAATATTTGCTGCGACAGATTCTGTTTGCACGTTGCAGGTTTGAAACATATGTTTTTTGCATTCTTCCAGCAACTAGGTATCATAGCTAATTACTGAACTTATAAATGATGATGCAGGTGCTAAATCAGGATGAGACACCTTTGCTGTACAGTCTTGTATTTGGGGAGGGTGTTGTGAATGATGCTACATCGGTGGTGCTTTTCAATGCAATCCAAAGCTTTGACCTCAACCAAATTGATCCTACAATTGCTTTGCACTTCATTGGCAACTTCTTATATCTGTTTATCGCGAGTACCATGCTTGGGGTTTTGGTAACTGTCTTTCTCCCTCTAACTCTTTCATGCATATGTCAATCAGAGTCAGACACACAGACAACATCCATATTAACAGTGAGCATGCATGTAAATATTGGTATTACTTATACTCTGTTCTAATGTATCTCCATCACCTTGTAGACAGGTCTTCTTAGTGCTTACATTATTAAAAAGCTGTACATTGGCAGGTATCTTCTTGTCATTTTTCCATTTCCTTTGTCACTTCAGTAACTATGTGTTATTCCATTGTTTTATATTGTATATAGGCAGTTAATTCATTGTAAAACTAAAGTTGTAGACATATCTATGATAATAAATAGTGTTCCTGCTTATCTCAATTTTATGTATTATTTGTTAGCTTGAAAATGTTTATGACGATTGTACTGAACTTATTTTTTATTTTTTTGAACTTAGAAGAAACCATCTATCTTAACTGGTTCAGAAGTTCATTCCAGCTTGAAGCCAGAATAACCGGGTTCATTAATTTTTTTAATGAGGGTTTTATAAATGATTTCATAATGCATAAAAGGGAATAAATTTAATCAAATAACCTGATGAAGAGATACCGATAAAGATTAAATTGCATGAACTAGTTAGGCATGGGTTTCTAGTATAAAATACAAGGACATACTCCCAGAATTCTTGTTGTGGTATGAATTGTTATGATTTTCTATTGTCTTAATTTCTTTGTTCCTTTTTAGGATAAAAAAGTTATATTAGTTCAGTAGAATTTTTTAACAACTTCTTGTCTTTCCCCGTGTCTATCTGTCAGTTTTTGTTTTTCTATCTTGAGCACGAGGTTTTTTAGACTTGGCACTGGATGATATGATTCTTTATTGAGGATCAACAATTTTCTCCTTAATTTCAGGCACTCTACAGATCGTGAAGTTGCTCTTATGATGCTAATGGCATACCTCTCCTACATGCTGGCTGAAGTACGTTTTAAAGAACTTTAGTATGTTTTATGGATGCTGTCAACTTTTGTCGTTATCATGATGCTGATGTATCTATATACTATGCAGTTATGTTATCTGAGTGGCATTCTCACTGTATTCTTTTGTGGGATTGTTATGTCGCATTATACTTGGCATAACGTGTCTGAGAGTTCAAGAATCACTACTAAGTATGTCTTTTAAACAGATTTCCACGAGCTACGTACAATGTCGAAGTCTATATATATATATATCTAAACCTATACTTTTCGTGTGACTCTCACAGGCATGCGTTTGCAACCTTGTCGTTTGTTGCTGAGATCTTTATCTTCCTTTATGTTGGTATGGATGCCTTGGACATTGAAAAATGGAGGTTTGTCAGTGATAGGTATGTCCAATGTTCTCTCAAGAGACTAGTGAGTAGTCATTGATACACTCACTTTTTTGTACTCATGAAAAATTGTTGAATGTCATTCTTTCATATCAACAATTGGTATGATGAGCTGCTTTACTGAAACAGTCCTTTTATTACTTGATGTGACTGGAGAGTTCTTCTATATTATTGTTTTCTGCTTTTCTTTTTTGACATTTTATCTTTTATTCTTGAATCTTTTCACTCTCAAAACTTCCTTCTCTTATAATGGGAAAACAATTCATGTGCCACACTTGGTTTTTTCTGCAGCCCTGGAACATCTGTAGCAACGAGTGCAGTATTGTTGGGTCTAGTACTTGCTGGAAGAGCAGCTTTTGTTTTCCCCTTATCCTTCTTATCCAATTTGACTAAAAAATCACCAAATGATAAAATCTCCTTCAGACAGCAAGTATGGCTATATTTATTTCATCGAGACCCTTTTTCTAAATTTCTTGTACTATTGTCAAGTTTCGCTGACAAGTTTCTTATTATTTCTTATCCTAGGTGATCATTTGGTGGGCTGGTCTCATGAGAGGTGCTGTTTCAATTGCACTCGCATATAATCAGGTAGGAGTAACACTACTCGATTTTGGCTAATTTGAATGATTGACCACTGATTCAGCCAAAGAAAAAAAAATTACTGGTCACAGTTGATAGTATCTTAAAGTTGATGCGTTAAAAACTGATACAATTATAAATGCAGTTCACCATGTCGGGACATACTCAACTGCGAAGCAATGCAATCATGATTACTAGCACCATCACTGTTGTGCTTTTCAGCACAATGGTAAGTTATCTGTTTTGTAGTTTCTGACATCCTTAAACAGGGTCCATTGCTTTCTTTTCATTACATTGCTGCATCACTGATATTTATTCTACTAGATTAGAGATTTGATATGAAATCTATACTCTATTAGCACCTAGATGAAATGCCCACTTGTCTAGTGACACCTTCACGTCGTGATACTTATAATTATTCAAATTATCTACAAATCAGACGCGGTTATATATTATATAAAAATTTCTTTGCCGATGGTACTGACACAACTTAATTACAATCTTGCAGGTGTTTGGTTTGATGACTAAGCCGCTCATAAGGCTTTTACTGCCTCAGGACCCTCATTCTAAAGGCACAAACAGCATGACAAGCACAGATCCCTCTACTCCAAAATCATTCAATGTCCCACTTCTAGGAAGTGCTCAGGATTCAGAAGCCGATCTTGATAGCAGAGTTCCTCGTCCAAGCAGCATTCGTGCCTTACTAAGCACTCCAACACACACTGTTCATCGTTTATGGCGTAAGTTTGATGACGCCTTCATGCGTCCCGTTTTTGGTGGCAGGGGCTTCGTTCCTGTAGAACCTGGCTCACCAAATGAACGCAATGGTCATCCATGGCGTTGAGAAGAAAGCCAATAAATATGTGAAACGCATTGTGAATTGCATACATTTTGTGGAGATAAAGCAAGGGCATGTTTAAGAATACCTTAATGAAATTTTGTTTAGCTCTTTGGGTAGCGAGAACTGAGAAGGCTGTGTACCATAATTCTTCTCTGCGTCTCCTGCAAACTAGAATATTTGAATAGATTTTCTGACCCATCATTATCATTGCACTAAATTTTATTAGCTAAAGCTAAATATTTTAATTTCAAAAAAAAAAAAAAAAACTAAATATTTTCCACATTACACAAGTTTTTATATTGGTTTTATTCTGCACAGCTTATGCCTTTAATGAGGCAATGATGGATTTTTAGTGTACCTGATTACCATAGGAATGTCTACTATCCTATAGATGAGAACTTGACAGGACATACCACTGGCTATGAAATGGTTGCAATACTGAATTTGCAAACTTTGTCCCTATTAATGAGCACCCAAAGGCTCATTTTTTTCTTTCTTTTTTGGGAAAAGTTCACCAATGCCCCTATGGTCTGCTTCAGAATCATTTATGTCCCTGTGATTTTTTTCCTGTCACATATGCCCCTATGCTTTGTAAAAAATAAGAAACCACAGGGATATATGTGATAAAAAACATACCCTTTTACAAACCACAGGGGCATATGTGATAAGAAAAAAACCACAGGGGCATATGTGATTCTGAAGTAAACCACAGGGGCATTGGTGAACTTTTCCCTTCTTTTTTAAACCCCTCTTATCTTATCCTAGCCTTACACGCATTACCAAAAAAAGAAAGCCATGTTTTGATCTCTTGAAAGAACCTGTTGGATTATTATGGGATGATTGATGAGTGACAAAATGCTCTTTATGTTGCACCTCGGTCTTGTTTATGATAGCAATTGCATTGATTGTTCTTACTTTGTTTATTTTATTTTATTTTCCTTATTCTTCTTTCTGCCAATCTCCTAGCTGAGGTTGTTGATATTTTTTAAAAAATTGAAACATTCTGAACGCAATTTATTACTTTACTAGAAATGTCTCTAATTAAGTTTTCTCATGAAAATGCCAAAACTTCAACATAAATCAGCAATTAAGTTTTGTAATTTTAATTTATTTTAAGGTTATATTAGTTTTGACATGCCAAAACAATTATTTTAAGGAAATATCATCAAAGTTGTCCTTAATTCTTCGTCTGCATGTATATACGGAGAAGAAAAAAAAATTAGTAGATTGCTGGGAAGAAATTCCAATATCGTTATTTAGACAGCGCAGTTGAGCTTTTAAAAAGATCCTGTAAATGAAAATAAGGTTTTATTTTTTGTGAATTAAAAAATAAAAATCCGAACATATTGTCAAGGCAGTCTTTGATCAGAAGGTTAGGGTTTGTAAGGAGGAGGTTATCGGTTTGAGATAGAAGGATTTTGAGATACTTGAAATATTATATTAAGAGGCATTGATTTTGGAACCATTTTTTCTCTGATTTAAAAAATCTTAAAGATAATGCAAGCTATTGGACTTCAGCTTATATGAGCTCAAATAATCATGCTTTTACCGATTGAGCTTGTATATGAACATATTATTAAATTATACTATTAATGAGAAATAATATATTTACAACCTATTTTCGTTTACAATCTTTTATAATTATATCTTAACCGTTATTTTTGACCATGAGCGATTATCATTTATTGCGGATTAATAATTAATTAATGAGTTTGATTTTCGAAAATAATAACAATTGGTTGACGAAAATCAATGGTTAAAATGTGGTTATAAAATGTTGTAAACTAAAATAAGTTGTAAGAATAATCTTCCTCATTATTAATATATCTAAAATTATATTCAAAAATTTATTCTATGTTTATGCTTGTATCCTTTTGTACTTTATCCTCAATTTCAGATTTTACTAGTAAAATTTCCCCCATCTGAGGGGTGAGCATCGGTTATGATAAAGGAATGTTGCAGACTCAAGCAGAATACTAAATAAAGACTCTTTTTCTCGGGGCGTGTGCACACCAATTTTGATGGCAAATGTTTATGAGGGTGTGGCCAGTTTATGGCAACTTACCTCAATACTCCACAATATTCCTCAAAGCTCTTGTGACTGTATTAGATTATATCAATGTGTTTGCAATTGATATTTTGAACAAAAGGATGTTAACATATTGATTGTATACAGATTCTTTTTAGCAGATATTCCGCTATTTCGTAACATTATCGGCTACAACACCATAGATCTTACCCTTTACTATACAGCTAGTTCGGTTTCAGAGAACCGAAGAATTATATCGTAAGGTATGCGTTCAGACATATTTTATAGACAAATATTTTGGTTGACTTATAGTTAAAATGTGGGTGTGTGCACAGTATTAGTAGTAGTAGTAAATGAGATTCAGTGTGTGTACCTGAGGGTCTTTAGTTTTTTTTATTTATAGGAGTTATCTTTTGAACTTGGACTGTGTAGATCTCTTAATTGATGTAGGACTTAACTTCTTATTTGTAAAAATAAAAGTTTTATTTTCATTATCTTTATCATCTTATGCTATTAGGATAATTGTGTCATTATCCATCAAGAGATTCATGAATAGGTAATTAGGATATATCCATATTTCACAATACAGCTTAAATATGTTCAACTTGACATATGTTACTACTATCTTACACAAAAGTGACATACCGATTTTATGGTAGATTTGGTAGACGGGAATTAATCCTCTTATTTAATAATTTGAGAGAATTTCAACTATTCAGAAACAAATTAATTATGATGAGAGATGAGAAAGCAAAAATATTAGGATAGAGAGTGACGAAATTATCACAAATTCTCTCATATAACATAATCATGTTAAATAATAGAGTAAATATCATTTTTGCTCCTCAGCAAATTTCACGATGCCCGCTTTAGTCCCTAACAAATCAAAAGGTCCATTGTGGTTATTAAAAAATTCAAAATGAACTCATTTTAGTCCTTTTAGAGGCTAATAGGGGTCTTTTTTGAATTTGTGAGGGATCACAATTTCAACTAAATGAGTCCATTTTAAATTTCTTAGGGACCACGATGGGCATTTTTATTTGCTAGGGACTAAAACGGGCATCGTAAAATTTACTGAAGACCAAAAAAAAATATTTACTCTAAATAATACTTCTTCCTTGTATCATTAAACACGGTGGATACGAGAGTTTAGAGCTACGCTGCCTGAAATAACACCCGGTACAAAAAGCTTCCACAAGCATAAAAGTGATGGTTTTTTAACATGTGACTTCCATGCCTTCGGTTCACTCTATCGACAGTTAAATTTGATTAGTTTTGACAAAAATAATAAAAATCGATTTAAGGTAAATGGTTTCCTTATAATATAATAAGTTTGGTTTAATTTAAATTTTATATAATCTAATTTAATTTAAATAAGTTTAAATTTTAAATTAATTCATACTTAATTTTTAATCCTACAATATATGTCCGAATTCAAGAGATGAAATAAAGTTTGGCTTAAGGTGTAAATAGAAATGTCCTGAAATGAGTATGAATACTATAAATTCTTTTCATGTAAAATATTATTTTTAAAAATAGATAGACTCAGTTTATTTTGAATTAGATCGATTTTATTTAAAAATATTAAAAATAAATTTTTTAATATTTAACTCAATTTTTTTTAATTCTAATTGAATTAGTTTGATTTTAAACACTCTTTTATCATCATCCAAAGTTTCTCAAGAGCAGATAGCGCTTATGATTTTTCAAATATGAAAAATAAAATAAAAAATAAACAGTGCAATACTTTCTTCAAAAACATATATATGTAGGGAGAGTAGGATTAATTTACGTCGATACAAAAAAAAAAAAAAATCTGCTTCAATTTTTGTTGTTTGTTCACTTATATCTAATTACTCATATATTAAATCAATTAAAGCCATTAAATATAAATAAAATATAACTTATACCGCTGTAAAATAATGTTGCCATTGTAAATATAATGTTGTTAAGAGTTTCGAAAGAAAAATTTATTGACCTTTACGTCACTGTCAATATTTTCTTTAGAGGATGACAGGTATTTAACATTTTGTTCTATCGTTATTTCTTACAGATCCTCACACGGATATTTTATAAACTAACTTTGAGTATTTAAAATTTCTCGATTTTACCTTTCCATACACCTTAAAAGTCTATCATGCTTGATTACAAAAAAAAAAAAAAAAAAAAGTCTATAATGCTTCAGTGATTTCATGTCACATTTTAGATGAATCTAAAGGTAAAATAGAAAATTTTAAAATATGTAGTACGTAGAAATGAAGGCACGTCAAGTGGGTTAAAAAAATATCTGAGATGGATCTGAATGACATATAAAATCAAAATGTTATTAATTATGCGGTTACTTTTAAACAAAAAAGAAGAAATTTACATTCATTATTTAACATGACCACAAAAAGTTTCCTACACACACAACATTTTATAGGACTCGCCTGTCTTGAAGAAAAAAAAAATTACGCCACGTAAAACGAAGTTTTATAACATAACACAATCATTTTTCTTACAACATAATTCTTATAAAACCAAAAAAAATGCCAATAGTAAATAAAGATGTTACTTTACGTGACACGAATCCAATTTTCAATTCTATTTAATTTAATTTAACATCTTTACATTCACAAATCTACGCAACTGTAAATTTAAAATTTTCTATAACAAAGAAAGTGAAAATTGTTAGATCAGAAGGGGAAAAAACAGAGATTTTATTTAGGAACGGTTATAGTAATTATCTCTTTTTCTTATTATTTTTTATTATTAAATCTTAATCGTTGATTTTTGTCAATTTAACGATTGTAATTTATTGGGTCATACTTATTTATTAATTATTAATTTATAATAAATTATAACCGTTAGATCGACGAAAATCAAAGGTTGAGATTTGATAGTAAGAGGTAATAAGAAAAAGAGAAAGTATCTATCAATGTTGTGAAAATCAGACCGGACCGGCCAGGTCGACTCGGAACCCGGTGAAGAGGTCATCTGACCGGTCCAGTTATCACATTGGATCAGTCAAGTATCGGACTCGGTACGACCCGGTGCGACCCGACCAGTTTTGGTGAAAACTCGGTGACCCGGCTCGGGTTTTTAAAAAAAAATATTTTCAAAGAAAAAAAAGTTTTCCAAAAAATATATCATAATTGATATATTTGAGTGATCTATTATTTATTGACTTATATAAGTTATGTACCTACCATCTTAATATTATCTCAGTTATGCACTATATAGGAAATTTTGATTTTATAGTTAGAGATGTCGTTTACCGAACCTAAAACACCAATATAACAAGCATTATATATTTGTTTGATCCTTTATTGGACAATAATGTATAATTCATTTATTTTTATATTAAAATATGAGTTTGTGTTTTCTAAAGTTACTTTAGATAACTTTATCTAATGTTTATCGAAACGATGTCGTTTTGGGGCAGAAATTATGGTATTTTTATAATTTTAATTTATTTCAGGGTTATAATAGTCTTTATCATTCTAATTTTTAAATTTTTTAACCCAAAACGGCGTCGCTTTGATGAACATTAGATAAAGTTATTTAAAGTAACATTAGATACTTTTTTCCCTTAAAATATTTAGAATTTATATTATTTTTTCAACTATTTGAGTATTTTTATAATTTTTTTAATATAAATTATAGATTTATATACAATTACCGAATCATACAATTCAATCAGTGACCCACGGATTGAAGAACCAATGACCCAATAACACAACCGGATCATTCACCGGGCCGATTTCAAGTATAAATTATTAGGGTTTTCATTTTATCCTTTAACATAACACAACAAACTTTCCTACCCTCACAACATTTTGTGGGGCCCACATTTTTTAAAATCAAAAAATAAATAAAAAATTAAGGCACGCAAAACGAATCTCTATAACATTACACAATCACTTTTCCTACAACGTAACTCTTATAAAATTCAAATTATTATTAATGATTAGTAATAAAGTATTGATAACACGGAGTTCAATAAGAAATTCCGAAGCTTACCCAAAACCAAAGCACAGAAATGCCATAACCACAATAACAACCATCGATGTTTCTGTGATTCCGTATATTCAGATGTTACTGTTCCGCAAGCTCATCCCACGATATACTCTACAAACAACATAGAAACTAATCTTATTCTTTTCCTCGATTCCAATTTTCCGTAGTTCATTCCATTCGCTTTCTGAGATTGGGGATTAGGGTTTATCCGTTTAAAACCGAGTAGTCGGAGAAATGGTTCAACAATCGGTGCTAGCAATAGCAACGCAAGGGTCGGAATCTTCAAGCCCAGTGTTAGCAGGGAGATTCTCCAATTGGGTGTTCGAGTGCCATGGGTTCTGGCACAATGCGGTGTTGATTACGGCGTCGTTTCTCTTCGTGTTGTACTTGGCACTGCAAGCTAAACAGAGCTTCCACAAGCTCTCACATGACCGCTCTTATATCATAATATCGTATTACGTCACCCTCTGGGTTGTCAGCGTCCTCAATCTTGCTTGGTGCTCTTTTCAGGTCACCCTATGTTTCTCTTCAATTTCTTTAATCAAGCAAAAAAAAAAAAAAAATTGTTATTTTATTTATTTATATAGTGGTCGATGGATTCTGCATTTGTTTTGTTGTGTTATTTTATGATTTACTGGCATTGGTGAATGTTGATGCAATGATACTAAAAATTAAAATTGCTTTTTTTTTTTGTTAATTTGGTTGATTCAGTCATGGGAATGCTCTTCTGGGAAAGAGTTGGCATGGAACTTGTTATCCCTTTTTACTACTTCGGGAATGCTGTTTCTTGAAGTGAGTTTGCTGGCTTTTTTACTTCAAGGGAATAGTGCGAGTGGCTTAGAAGCATTGACACGAACTTTTGGTATATCTGGGATCATTGTTGGTTTTGATATCTTGTTGAAGGTAATTTTGTTTGGTTATTCTTTCACTAGAACCCTGCTTTTGTCCTTGTGATTTATGTATGAATTGTTGCACCTTTTTACTTGTTGGTTAGGCTGTGTATCTGTTTGGATTTGGGATCCCATTATTCATTGACAGCAGTGACAGTACGCATCACGTGAAGTGGAACTTGTGGGTTGTCCACAAGCTGTTGCTTACCGCTGTTTATGGGGTGATATTGTTCATGTATCATTCCAGGTGGATAGAAAGGTTACCTGGTAAGTCAATTGTCTGGATTGTCATATTATGTAATTAGTTTTATAATTGAGTAATTTATCTTTCTTTCTTTTTCTTTTTTTTGCAGCAAGACCTGCGTTTTATAAGTATGTTACTGTTATGTTCATCTTGAATGCAATTGCGTTGTTTGCTTGTGGGATTACTGGAAACGGTGCTGCATTTGCCTTCTGGTTTGGTTCTTCTCTAAGCTTAGCAGAAAAGAAATTCTTTTGAGCTTTTTTTTCTTTGGCATCTTTCTCTAAAGCTTTGTGTTTACTTTTGTTCACAGGTTCTATCGTGTCACAGTTGTTTGTTACCATGCCTTTTATCTTCCCCTGCTCTATATAACATTTCTGGCAGACTTTTTTCAGGTCATAATGCCCCTCCACTTGATGCCCTGCATTCAGTTTTTACTATTCAAACTTCGGTATTGTTTGTAGTTAGGAGTTAGGACATCCTTTCTTCTTTCATTGATCTGACCGAGATTGTTCCTTATTGTGTTGATTACAGGAGGAAGATTTGCACTTGGACAATGTGTATTACTCTGAAATGAAAGATGCTGGTTTCTTCGAAGCAGATTGGGACTGATGTGGTGTCAACTGTTAGATTAGATTAATAAGGTGCAGGTCATCCCGTTCACGAAGTATGTAAATAAAGTAAATATGTTAGTAGATCACATTTTTATATAGAATTTAAAAAAAGATGTTTGTTGAGACATTTCGCTCCTTGACTGTTTGGTTATTTACCAGATTACATCAACCACGGGTAAATGCTATATTAGCATGTTCTATATGTGGTTATATTGAATTTTGGTAGTCTGTTAGTGCAATGAATCAATTTTTTTTAAAAAGAATATAGACTAGAACAATCAATCATGTTTTAAGCAATTAACATATGTAAAACAGTATTATTGATTTTATGCAGATCTTTCAGGGTAGTCATTACATAACGCTATTTATCTTACTATGTTAGTAAGTATCAAATGTTCAACTCGACTCCGATTACAATCCTACCCAAAAGTGACATTTTCATTTTGAGTATTTTTTTGGGTACAAGACATTTGATTTTCTTGTACATCGGCTGGAAAGTCCGTCAATAAGCACAGGATGAGAATTCAAATATTTATTGCCTGAATAGAACATATCACCAACTTATGGCTTCGAAAGCTTCAAGCATTGGGCACATTAGATTGCTAATAAAAAAAAGGTGTTCCCTTTTTCTTGATCCAAGTTCAATAAGTGAAGGTTCCTTACCTGGTTCGAATTCGAACCCCAAGTGCACAAAAAGGATCGAAAAATAATGATAAAGGACGAAATAGGCACTTGACTTCTTTGGTAATGGTAAGTTTGCATTTAAAACTCTTCTACTTTGGGAATCCTCTTGTATTTTTCTCCAGCTGCTTTCATAGACCGTGAAATAGTTATTACACAATATTTAAGAATGATACAATTCCCAGAAAAATAAAAAATGTCGTAAATTTTAGTAAAACTACTGACTTATGATCTACTTGACAGTTTATGTTATTCAGGTTACCTGCTCGGACTGCAGGTATCCTAATTGTAGGTATCCTAATTGTAAAGCAAAGGCAGACTGGAATTGCGTCAATGATCAATGTTCATATATATATTTATGCAGCAATTTTATGTGATTGCATACATTGCTCAATAACATTAAGTACAATTAACATAATTTTATAAGACCTTCCTAATGCAAAAAACAACCTTCATAAAATTCCCCAAAAATCAAGTGGCTCGGCTAATTTATTTTTCTTTTCAGACCTATGGAACAAGGCGATATCAGAGTACGAAGATAAAACACTAAAGACTAACAACCCCATAATCTGTGGATAACAATGTCTACTAGTTTCATCTGGTACATTTTACTCTTAAGGACTTTGTTTACTAATGATCTCCTCAATAAGATCTGCGGCTTCTTGAACTGTTGAGATGCTCTGTGCACTATCCTCTCCAACGCTGATACCAAATTCCTCCTCCAGCCCCATCACAATCTCGACCTAATGGGCATGGCATGTAAATGGAATTCACAATAATCAAATCAAGTGATATGGCTATATACTCAGATTTTGGTAAATAACTCCAAGGAGCATCAAACAGTAGCAATTGAAATGTCCGGCAAGATGTTGATTACCGTGTCAAGTGAATCAGCTCCCAGAGCAGCAAATTTTGACTCGCCAGTAACATTAGAGTCATCTGCTAAAGCCAGCTGCTTCTTTACTATTTTGCACACCTTTTCTACGGTCTGCGGCTTGGCCTGCTCAAGGCATTCAACGTAAGCATGAAAATAGAAGATATACCCCCCCCCCCCCCCCCACCCCACCCCACCCCCAGTTAAAGAGTATTCAGTAACAAAGAAATCCTGGAATTGTCTGATGCCTCAAGATAATATTAGTCATTTTCAAAAAACATCACACGATTCAAGTTGATTTAATCAAGTATTTATATGAACTTACAGATCTATATGGATTACTGAAATATGGATAAAGTTAGACTACTACCAAACTATCAGCATTAAACATGGTCTTATAAAGCCTCAGGAAATTTCATAAAACACAAGGTTCGAGAATTAAGAACCTTCTCCAATAAAAGGGTTAAAGACCCACACGGCTATATCTGCATAAAATTAAAATTATAATGTAAAGGTTCTAGATGCCGCAATTTCAATAGATAAAACCATCTCTAATCTTACAAAGGCCTCCATTAGCCAGAGATAAATTGGGATTTGAGACAAAGGATACTCATTGACTATAAAAGGAAAATTAAGATGTGCGATCTGAGGTTATAAAATATGTACACACCATTTCATCTTTATATTTATATTTATATTTATATTTATATTTTTAATTTTCTGTGAAAATACCATTTCATCTTTCCCATCACATTTCTCTTAATCAACTATTGACTACAGTTTCAAGCAATCTATCATCTAGTAATTTGGTGACCGTGCAGGCAAAATGTAAAATCTCTAAAAGAAGAAGGTTGAAGCACTTCACAAGGAGTTACATACAGCGCAAGAAACTCTTAGGTGAACTGAACGCGGCCGCGAGCTAAAAGACACATTCCTTCTCCCATAGCTTGACATTAAGGTAGACATCGGGCCAGAAATTGAATTGAATGCCTGTTCAACACATGCATTAAAAGAAACTTCATTGAAGAATGAATATAAAAGAACAAAGCAAGAACAAAATACTAACGCTGCTTTTGTTTAATTAAAGAATAATAGTGAACTATTACTGAGCACCAAGATGTTGGCCTGATATGCAATGCAGAGTATTTCACATATTCTGGTCCAAAACTTTTGGCTTCAATTTAACTCTACACTGACAAAATTGGATAGTGAGCCATAATATGGCTTTGCAAGCAAAGTGAGTCAAGGTGACCACAAAATACAATGTTCGAGTTAATTGTTCTTTAACTATAGAGCAAATGCTATAAGCACTAAGGCACTTTCTTAGGCTGTACGGTTCTGTTGCACACTCGATAGATACAAGTCTTGGATCTCACATTTTCTTTTCTTACGGTAAAACAACACAACCTGAGAAATCAACCTGGTTTTTTCCACAGAACATGTTCTACGCATGTCGATACACACGCAGGAGGTATATACTTGCGTGTATATGCAAATCATTTGACAAATTAGAGCAAATAGTAACCAATCTCAATGAATGAAAGATATTAATGTATTCAATACCACAAAGTATAATTTCTGAAAACGAAACTCCAGAGAACTAGAATACAGAATTCAGAGAAAACTTGCACATGAGAATAAGAATGAAAAGAGAGGCAAATAAACAAATATTCGGAAACTTTTGTAAATAGATCAATCATTGCGAAAAGGAAAGAAAAGTAAAGCAAAGCGCACAGTAGCAGTTGTAATTAAGCGCTACAAAGAGTGAGGGAGGATCGAACGGGAAATGAAAATGATACCGGTTTCTGATTCAACTGAGGACGGAGAGAGCGCATGGAGAGTGTTGCTCCGGTGAACGTATTTGTCGCCATGGAGGTTGGTGCGGTTGTGCAAAGAAGCAGAGAAAAAAAGAAAGAAAAAAAAAAAAAAGAGAATAGAGCTTTGATTTGAGAACGCGAAGAGCGTGAACCGCGAAGCGAAGAGGGCGTTAAAGAAAGAACAAATAGCTGCTTGCTTGCTTGCGCTGCCTTCGCTTCGATCTTTGATTCGAGCCACCTCTCTCTCTCTGCCAAGTCGGAGTGAGCTGAAACAGTCTTCGTATCGGATTTGGGCCAAACTAGTTGGGCTGGAATCAAGCCATTGAGTCCTACTCACTGGCCCAGGAATTGGGTTTAGTCCATATAGCAAAGATGAAACTCAACAAAAATCACCTGAATTAGTACAAAATCGTCGGTTAAATAAGTACATAAAAGGGCAATATTAAGTTTACAAAGAAATAAAAGTATACGTGGAACTGTGCCTTTTTCATACGATTTGCAATGGAGAAGTCAGAAATTATTTTTAAGGAGGCAAATTTTTTCCTTTTAATTATATGATAAAATAAATAAATATAAATGATACTTACAATTACATATTTTTTGAAACTTTGAAGGAGACTAGCATTAGATATATGATCAACAAGTTAGAAATAATATTCATTTAAAGATTTATATAAATTTGAAGGAGTTGAACGACCCTCTTAAATGCCCGATTAGATGGGCTTTTATTCTTAAAAAAGTTTTTTTTTTTTTAAATAAAAATTCTTTTGAGAATTTTTAAATGTTTGGATAACAACTTTTTAAAAAATAAAATTTAAAATAAAAGTTAAAATACTGTTTTTTTTATAGCTAGTAATTGGTTGCTTTTGAAAAAAAACAGAAATTAAAAGATAATATAATTTTTTTTTTTGAAAAAAAGATAATATAAATTTTTAAAATACAATTTTAATCTTATCTTATCATATCTATTTTATCTCTACTTATCCTACAATTATGTTATTTTATCTCTCCTTTATTATAATTTTATATATAAAAAGTGTTTTTTTTTTATTTTAACATCGAAACATTTTTTTTATGTAAAATTGATTTTCAGATCATACATCCAAACATAAAATAATTTTACTTTTTTAAAAAAATTATTTTAAAAAAAAAACAATGCATAAAAAATTATTTTTTTAAAAACTTATCCAAACGACCATTAACCCTTCCCTCATTTCACCGGTGATAATTTGTATACAATACTGTTGATATGACTTCACATAAATTCAAAGTAAATCTTGCAATACAAAAAGCGTATGGCGATTTGATTCCGCTTGTGTATTATTTCATCCTTTTCATAAATGAAATCAATCACTCTTCTTCATAAAAAGAGGTTTGAGATTTCGGTCTTTAGTCCTACTTTTCAATGTAAAGTGAATATGTTTATTTATATAAGTAGTATTTCACTCATATAATTTTTTGTGAACTGAATAACTTGTGTGTGCATGACGCACAAACCATGACGGAAAGATTGTCGATTGTTTGGGGTACTTCATTGTGTAATTTGTTTTTTTTTTTTATCATCATTTGAAATGCCCAAATAGACAAGATGACAGCCCTTTTAACCCTAATATTGTAATCCTTGTAGCAAATAAAAGTACCTAGATGCAGTGTCAAACTAGGTTGAAGCCTGCAAATCAGCCCACAGAGTTATATATTTAGTCTTAACAAATTAGAGTCTTTTTGTAGTAGGACTTTTTTTTTTTTTTTTCTCTAACCCTGAAAGTCCTGTAAATTAGCAGGTTTGGTTAGGACCAAACCGCATGCCAAATTTTTTACTTCATCAAAATTTTTATTATATAAAAATATATAAATTTAAATATAATATAAGTAAAAATGAATTTTTCAACAGTGACATGTTAAAACAGAGAATTTCATCTGCACATCAGTAAAAATGAAATTTTATATTGATGTTTAAGCATGTTATATATCTAAATTTGCACTGAAAGATACTGGATACAATGCACTTTGGTAATTTAGTAGATAATAATAATTAAAAATATTTTTTTAATTATAATAGTTGAAGAAAATCAATTATTTAACTTTTAAATATATAGCATACTAAGAGCAGTTATTTATATTAAGATTATTTTTTATCGCTACTTTTGGTTTTTCACTATAATTACTTTGTTCTGATATATTTTTTGATAGAGAAAATATTTATTTGATAATATCCTTTAACAACGAATTTAGTAAAGGTAGTATCAAAATTTTACCTAAATTAAAATTTTGTTTACATTTTTATTTGTATATTTGTGTATAGATATTATTTTATTAAAAAATTATAAAAATTTAAAATTTGTTAAATATTTATTTATTAAAATAAGGAAAAAAATATTTCTACAGTTAATGCAGATAAGTTATCTGCATTTATTCTCAAAACGACGTCATTTTGGTATTGAAATTTTATAATTTTTTAAAATAAAGACTATTATAATCCTGAAATAAATTAAAATTATAAAAATACCATGATTTCTGCTCCAAAATAACATCGTGTTGGCTTACTGCAGATATTTTATCTGTAGTAATTGCAGAAAAAGCAAACTCTCAAAATAATTGTTAATGTATTAAATATGATAAAATAAAATAAAATTTTATGAAATTATAATTTTGAACGGCCCGCTGGCCAGCTCTTGCCCATAGAATTTTTGTTTGTGCAAGCCTTTATTATTAAGAGTGTCATTTGGCTCTGTAAATTTTTTGACTCTAATCTACATGGACTAGAACCTAATGGGACCAACTAATCCATTTTGAAAGTAGTAATTCTGCTTCTCACTGTAGGTTTATTTGGATTAGAGCTTTTTATTTAAAAAAAAAAAAAAAAAAACCTCATGTTGCTAATTCAGACATTCAGTAATCTGAAGACCAAAAATTAATAATTGGCTTTACCCTGTTTTTATTTTTACAAATAGAATTTCACTTATATATATTTTTATAACCTGCACGTGATGAACTTGTGTGAAGCGTAATCCATGACAAATGTAAAAGGTTGTCGTTTGTTTGGGGTGCTTCATTGTGTATAATTTGTGTTTGTTCTTTATCATCATTTAATGTGACTGATACGCGTTTGGCTGAGCTCTAATGAGTTGCCTTGTCAATCATTTATGCAGTTTGAACTTTTGACGTTGGTATGTCCGTTTTCCTTTGCTGGACTGTAGGTGCTGTAGCTTTAAAACAAATAAGTAAAGGTCAGAAGTGATTTTCGTTGTGGTGTCCACCCATTGGCTATCTCAAGTCTCCTTCAGATTCTTAACCAATCACCTGGTTTCTTTCATTTTCGTCCTTCTGAAATTAAATGTCAAAAACGGGTATACTTATTGTATCTTGATGTTAACCCTCCCTCTGTCTATGCTCTACGCAAATTTGGATTGTACAAGGGGCTACAAGAAAATAATTCAATAATGATGATAAGGACTTCTTAGTCGCATGTAATATTGGTTTGGTTAAACGTTGATTTCAAAGAGATTTCTCTCTTTTTTCGATTGTTAAATTTCGGGTCTCATAATGTCCAATAACTTTTTTTTTTCGGTAAACTATTTTTTATATATTAAGTTTGAGATAAGCTTACGTATTGTAGTAAAAACTTATTTTTCTTGTCAAAAAAAAAAAAGGATGATAGAGATATAATATAAGTTGTTTCGAATATTGAGATTGAAAATAATGATCAGCATGTTAACGTAATGTTTTTAGTTAAACTCTCATAAGCCTGATCTTAATCGACTGAGATGAGCTTAAATTAATGAATTATTAAATTTTTATTAAAAAAAGGGATAAAAAAGGAAATGAAATGATGGCAATTCAAAAGATAAAAGTAATTAAAATAAGGGATTTTATTTTCTCGTATTGTTAGAGATAGCTATCTCCTACTATAGATACATAATGTGATGGGATTCATCACATATTAAAAAAAGGAAAATACATCCCTCCTTTAACAGGACAAGAAATAAAAGTCCTACAGACACGAACTTTGGTGGGCTCCACTATCGAACAAAAATTAAAAAACAAAAGGAATGCTTACACATTTATCGATGGATCAGCAAGAATGTTGCTTTGTTTTCCTGTTAAAGGAGGGATTTTTTGTTATCAAAAAAAAAAAAAGGAGGGATCTTTTTCCCTTAGAAAAATGGTGACATAATTTTTTATGTAAAAATAGTATGAGATAATTATCTCATGTAAAATGAGATAATAATTTCCCTTAAAATAAAACGGTAATAGCTCATCGATGATCAATATTATGTATTCACTGACCATTCCATTGATAATCATATTCTGCTTTTTTCTTTTGACTTACAAAATTATTGTTGCATATTAAACATGTTATTATATATTTCATATCACGACAGAATATAAATTGAAGTTGTTTAAGCATGTAATAAGAAGGCTCTCATATGAATAAAGGTTTGTTACTAAGACTTTGATATAAAAAAAAATAGAAGTAGAAGTATATCAAAACTTATTTGAAGGAGGTAGTAAAATAAGACTAATGAAATGAGATATAATTGATAAATAATGTGTCTTCAAGACCGAGTAAAGAAAATCTATAAACATAATAGAATATAAAACCCATCTTTATTCCTACATTTCACTAGACGGTTCTTTTTTAATTTTTTTCTCTTTATCTCCCCCTTTCTTTCCTCTTTCTTCTTTTCTTTTATTCCACTTTTCTTTTCAATCTTTTTCTCCTATCTATTTTGTTTTTGTTTTTCTTTTTTCCTATATCTCTCTTTATGTTATTTTATTTTATTTTATTTATTTATCTATTCATTTATTTATTTTTCTTACCTTTTTATTCTCTTCTGTCCTATTATATATTCTTATTCATATTTTATTTTATTTTATTTTTCTTTATAATGTGTAATGCTTTTATGTGGATTATATATATATATATATATATATATATATATAGGGTTTTATTAATCTCCTTTTACATAAGATAATTATCTTATGTTGTAGAGAGAAAATAGGTGGGTCCCACCATTATAAGAAGAAAGAAAAAAAAAAGGTGAGGTGCGGAAATCGAAGTGAGAGAAAATGAGATAAGATGCCTCCTATGAAATGAGAGTAATATTCCCCATATATATATCGTAGTAGTCATTTTTTCTTTTTTAATTCAAAGCTTCTAGTATCCTAAAATTACTTCAATTTCTTTTTAGTTAGTTGAAGTCTTACGAACCTAGGGAAGAATCCGTGTTAA